TTTTTTTAAGTGTTGAAAATAAAAAAGTAAACATTTTAACTTGCTATTCTTTTTTATTTAATATTTTCCCAATTACATGTAAAAATAAATTTTAACATTCATTTTTAAAATTGAATCCCAGATTTTCTCCCTCCCTCCTTCTCTTCCCAAACCCAGACATCTCCCACCCCCCAAAAAAAACAAATAAAAAATAAAATTTAAAAAAGTATGCTTCGATCTGCTTTCTGACTACATAGGTTTTTTTTCTGAAGATGGACTGCATTTTTCATTTGTCAAAATATTTGGAGATACCCTGCTTTCAAAAGCTAAGGCCCAGCAAGCAGACTGTGCCCTGAGCTTGGCATAACAACAATCCTTTGCACTCACCCTCTGGATGATCACCCTCAGGCAAAATGAATTGTGTGAACCCCTCACCAAACCATTCTAAACCCTCAAGACCTGGGAAAAGCCTAAAAACCTGTATTGGCCAAATAGGAGAAAGACATTTTGGCATACTCTGAGCTTAACCTACCTAATGCTTTGTGTGCTCTGGCACAACAGACATGCTTTGCTTTGCTCTCTGAGTGAATCCAAAATGCCCCTTCCTGTGTCAGCCAGTACAAGGCCAGATGAAGCTGATCAGGAGCATTCTTCTATTTATGACTGTCCAAGGTAGGAAACCTTGAACTAGACACTATCTTGAATAATGGGACTTTTCTTATCTTGATATATTATGAACACATGTTATGCTACGTTATACTATAGACAGATAGATAGTCATGTTAATGTCATATATAGTGATAGTTATTTAAGATCAATTGAGCCCCAATAAGAGCCAAAAACCTGAATTAATCTTTTCTCCCTGAGTGAACTGAGAATGCCCCTTCCTGTGTCAACAGCTAAAACTGATCAAGAGCATTCTTATGTTTATGACCATTAAAGGCACCTTTAACCCAGACCTTGAATAATGGGAATTTTTCTCATCTTGGTGGTAAAGGAAACACAAACATCCTGGATCTGACATCTGCCTATCTTGTTCAAATCCTTTCTCATACTCCGGTTAAACATGTGGAGATCATGAAACTGAGTAACACAGACTTCCTGAGTCAGGGTTTAAATGTCCTCCGAAAATTGCTTGATTCAGTCAGAGTTCAAGCTCTGGCTCCGTGTAACATGTTGCTAACTTAATGGAATAAACAATATGGATTTACTTATCACCTAGCTTGTCTCTTTAACCAAACTTTCAGGTCAACAATAGTCATGACTATATATATGTATGTATACACACACACACACACACACACACGCACACACATATATAATGACAGAAGAAACACAGACATCCTAGATCTATCATTTCAACTGACACCTTGATATTCTCTTATCTTACTGTATTTACAATCTATCCAATTAAGAAATTCCTTTCTCATATTATGGTTAACACATATGGAGACTATGAATTTGGCTAACACAGGCACCCTGAGCCCGGGAGGGAGGGGTGAGAAGGAATTGCTCTGAAGATATAAGGTCCCCTTTGTCTGTCCATCCTTGGGTTCATTTCCTCAAGGAGCTACCATGCTTATCTCTATATGCATGTTCCGCCAGCTTTGAGAGAAATAAACCTGCACATGCAGCCTAAGTTTGTTTATCTTTCTGTTCATAGAACAAACTCAGTAATGGTTGACAGTTGCTTTGACTAGCACCAGGTGTTCTCTGAGGGACGTATGATTTTCATATTAATTGATAATTTCTGAGGAACCTGAGAGCCAGAAGCAGCCACTATGCTATAGCAGAAAGTAATAAATCAAACCTCCTGACACTTAACAATTCCTGTGCTTGTGTAACCGTTAAGTGAACCAAACCAGACACTGCACTACTATTCCTGCCCCACTAATTCTGGTTCTGTACTCTGCTGAATGATCACAAGGTTCAGCGACCCTTATGCAACAATTCTAATGACTTGAGAACTCTTCTGACTGGACTCAAGAACACCTGTTTTGTCCCCAAAACACCTGTATGTGTGGGCTTGCCTTGGGAACTACTTACTCAAGACTCGAGGATGACCATGCTGGGTTCCCTCTCTCTGTGGTTTTCAGGCTTGTCTTATGCCTGGCCCAGCATGTCAAGCCCTCCTCAGGAGGACTGCAGTTTGCAAACCTGTTTTCCTCACTCTGAAACTAATTAAACCGCTACCTGATCCCTGACAGGCCTGCCTCTGGCCTGCTTTGTTTGGCTCTGGCCATTCACAGGGCAGAGACTGGTCTGGTCCGGGTTACGTTTAAAATTCTCTTGTCACATTGCAAGTCCTTCAGAATCGTCCGGGATCCTTGTTTCGCTGAAGATAGTTAAGCCATTCACGGCTGACTGCCGTACAATATTGCTCTTGCTGTGCACACGTTCGGTTCTTCTCATTTCACTTTGCATCAGTTCATCTAAGCCGTTCCAGGTTTTTCTGAAATCCACCATTTCTTATGGAACAACAGTATTCCGTTACATTCATTCACCACAACTTGCTCAGCCATTCCCCAACTGATGGGCATCCCCTCAATTTCCAACTCTTTGCCACCTCAAAAAGATCTGCTATAAATATTTTTGTACATGTGGGTCCTTTTCCTTTTTGCTTTTTCTCTGTTTGGGATACAGACCTAGTAGTAGTATTGCTGGGTCAAAGTGTTGAGGTTTAGAGTTGGGAGAGCTGGTTCAGGTGTGAAAGAATTCACTTAGACCTTCTCTGTAGCCATTGGGAGCTTTATTTCCTGAAGGCTTCACGGGCCTGAGGTTAGCAAGGAGCTATACAAAGGCGCCGATATAGGAAAAAACCCAGGCATATATAGACAGAAAGCTATACAGCCTATAGGATGATGATGTATTTTTAGAGTTTCATATGGGAATTGGAGATTAGGGACAGGATAAGAACAAATAAGACGAGGAAAAATTGTCCTGACACAGGATGAGGAAGATAAATGACAGGATAGGGAACACAGGATAAGGGAAACAAAGGCAATTCTTTTGGTACAAGTTGTATGGCATTTCAACATAAGGGGCAAAGGACTTGAGAAGCTCTCAAGTTCCAGGATCTCAAGGTACAGAATGGGCTACAGAATGAGCCTCAAACCCCCTCAGGGGCCTGGGAAAGTAACCCTTAATATTATTTTTAATCCTAGGGCACTCTTTGCCCCCACGTCAAAACGGTGTGCACAGTTTGATAGCCCTTTGGGCAGAGTTCCAAATTGTCCTCCAGAATGGCTGGAGCTCCCAGCTCTACCAACAGTGCGTCAGGGTCTCACTTTTCCCCCATCCCCTCCAACATTTGTCATTGTCCTTTTCTGTCACATTAGCTATTCTGATAGGTGTGGGACGGTAGTTCAAAGTTGTTTTAATTTGCATTTCTCTAATCAATAGGAATTTAGAGCACTTTTTTCATATGACTATAGATACTTTTGATTTTTTCTTCTGAAAACTGCCTATTCATATCCTTTGACCATATATCGATTGGAGAATGACTTGTACTCATAAATGACTCAGTTTTCCATATATTTGAGAAATAAGGCCTTATCAGAGAAACTTACTGTGATTTTTCTCAGTTATTACTACTATGTATTTCCCTCCATCCTATTTTCCCTGTTTATTCTACTCTTTCTCCTTTTACCCTGTCTATCCTCAAAAGAGTTTGCTGCTGACTACCACCTCCCCCAATCTGCCCTGTCCAGCCTCCAGGGTGGGGATGGTCCCCCGATGGCAGGCTGGGAAGGGAGTGGGGTGGGAGATGTCCTGCCTTAGAAGAGAAAACCCTGGCACCTGCTGCCCCTATCCCTGCCTGTGCCTGTCTATACACTGAAAGCCTGGTTTTCTTGGAAAGTTTCGTGTTCATGAAGTCAGCCACCTGACTGAAAGTCCTCCAGCTTCTCCTTTTGCCACACAACCCTGAGCAGGCCTGGCCCTTGGTTCCGCTCTAAGGAGCCCTCTCACAATTGCTCAGCTATGGCAAGTTCCCTAGGCAGCCTGCTGGGGCTGCTGGACAGTGCCAACCAGGGTCACCAGGAAACCCATCATGAGACAATCAACTGGCGTTTATGAAGCGATGCTGGACACAAAGAAGGACAAACCAGTCCCCGCTCCCCAGGACTTCCCAGGGCCCCAAACCTCAAGATGGCAGAGGGAGAGAGACGGAAAAGGCGCTTCTCCCCCAGCTCTGGAACTCCTCCAGAAGACCCAGAAATCACCCCAGACCCAGGCCTGACGTGGAAAGCAAAGAAAAATCCACAGTGAGTCGCTTTTCCAGTCCCCGCTTGGCACTCCACTCTGGTGGGGCACTCCACTGGCCAGGTAAAGGAACAGGCACGCCCTGTGTTAAGGACTGGGAAAGGCTCCCCTGAACTTGTCTTTTTGAGCTGCAACATTTTCCAGAAACACTGGACCCAGAGGGCACAGGAGGCCCTGAATGCGCAAGGATGAAGCGCCACACTACCCCGAGTTGGTCCCCGTGTCTGTCCCAGGCTGGGATAATGCTTGTGCAGCTGGGACCCCGTACACGAGGAGACCCTCCTGTCCTCATGGTCTAGTGGTTCCCAAGGGAAAAGAGGTGGCTTTTGCCATGGCCTTGCCCCCCTCCCCTTCCCACCTAGACCGTACCTTTCCCCTCCATGCAAGGCCCCTTTAGGTGAAGATTTCTGGGTCCTCCTCCTTCCTTTGTGGTACACTCATAAATACGTAAACTTCTGTTTGGATTGTGAACTCTGGGCTTTGGCTTTGGGACCCACATGCATGTTCATCTCTCTTGTAATAAATCTAGCTGCACTGCAATGTCTCATGGACTTGTGAGACTGTTTTTGGTTAATCCCACAGGCAGCCTTACTGCCCACTACCCAGGTCCAGGGTGGACTCTGGAGAGGACCAAACCCACTGGGGGTATTCCTGGGGAGGAATAAGTAACGAGCCCAAGACCAGAAGCGAGCAGCAGCAGGGGTCCGCACACCGAGAAAAAGAGAATGACTCCTCAACATCTACAAGCAAGGCCTCAAAGAGAAATGAAGCCTGGGCACAAATTTAACAAGAATTCCTAAAAGAGATGAAGAGCTTTAAAAAAAAAAAAAGGTTGTTTATATATATATGGAATGTTGGAGAAAAAACTGGAAAAGAAATGAGAGCTACAGAAAAAATAAAGAATTGAAAAGGGGATGACCAGCTTAGCACAAAAAATACAAAACCTTACTCAAGCAACAAACTCCCTGAAAATTAGAATGGACCAAATAGAAGCCAATGACTCCATGAGCCAACAAGAAATATTAAAACCAAACTGAAAGATTTGGAGGAAAAAAAAAACAGAACAAAATCCAAAGTATCTCATAACAAAAACAACTGACCCAGAAAACAGATTAAGGAGAAACAATGTAAGAATCCTCGGCCCACCGGAAAGCCTTGACCAAAAGGAGAGCCAAGGCATCGTATTTCAAGAAATCTTCCAAGACAACTGCCCAGAGCTCTAGGGGGCAAAGGCGAAACAGAAAGAACCCACCAGTCACATCCTGAAAGAAACCCCCAAACGACAACACCCAGAAAGAGCAGCTAAAATCCAGCGCTTCCAGGCCAAAGAATAATCCCCTGCACACAGCCGGAAAGAAAGAACTCGAGTTCCAGGGAGCCTCAGTCGGCCCCACACGATCCACCAGACACCAGTCTAAAGAGCAGAGGGCCTGGACCGTGATCATCCAGAAGGCAAAGGAGCTGGGATCACACCGAGAATAACTTCTCCAGCACCTCCGAGTATAATCCTACAGTGGGAAAATGGGCCTTCAAGGAGACAGAGGATTTCCCAGCATTCCTGATGAAAAGACCACAGCTGTACAAGTCAAACACCAGAGAAACAAAATGGCAACTCAAAGAACAGTCATAAGGAACTACACCAGGATAAATGGCTTCCATTCCAACAGAAGGGGAGGTGATCCCCATCATTGTCAGGGTCAGAGAGAACGTCCATTTAGACAGAAGGCAGAGAGTGCTGCTGCTAGGCCCTGGTCATCTTCATCACCCACCAGAAGAACAGAAAAGGAGAAGAGCAATGCGCTGGGCCAGAGGGGGTGGGTGAAGGACGGTTAGGGGGAATTCTCTCACAGAATAGGCATGTGCAAGTGGAGGGAGGGGGGGAGAGGCCGACCCTTGAACCTCACTCACATCTAAACTAATCAAAGGAAGGAAGAATACACACACACACACACACACACACACACACACACACACACACACACACACAGTTGGGTAGAAAAACACATTTCACTCAACAGGGAAAGGGGAGGGAAAAGGAAAAGGGGGGATAAGAGGAGGGTTGTTAAGGGAGGGTTTCGTGTTAAGCAAAACCAACTCTAACTAAATATTTATATAAGATATATTATATATATTTATATTTATACATATATACATTATATATATTTATATATTATATATATTAAGATAATAGATAATAGATAATAATTTAAGATATATATTATATATATTTAAGAAATATTTATAGCTCCTTTGGAGGTGACAAAGAATAGGGACGAGAGGATTTCCATCGACTGGGGACTGGCTACACGTTCCAGGGTAGAAATGTGATGGAAGACTACTGTGCCCTAAGAAAGCATGAAGGGGATGGTTTCAGAGAGACCTGGGAAGACGGGCACGAATGGATGCAGAGGGAGGGGGGCTGAACCCGAGAATGACGCATGCAATGACGGACGACAACATGGGAAAGGCAGAGGTGCAGGAACTCAGCAGCCAGCAACCAATGAGGACCCATGGGGAGACACGCCTCAGCCCCTTCTGACAGCAGGAGGACTGGAGTGCAGAATGAGGCAGGGCTGTGCATACGTTTCAATGTAATTTTAAAGTAAATAAAATCCTTCAAAATTTTTAAAAGAAATGACCTTTGAGTGGTCACCTCAAATCGTCCCCTGACCCCGACCCTAACTCCCATCCCTGTGGCTTTAGGCCTCGCTCCTTCCTCCGGCCAGCCAGCCAGGCCAGTCACTGCCGGGGCTCTGCTCGCACTCGCACTCGTAAAGAATCCTAGTTTTGGTATCGCTCTTTCTTGCACCACTGCCCTCCCCAAGAGGTCACTCCCTGCCCCTGCGAGCCCTCCCTCGTAACAGAATGAGAGAGAGAACAAACGGCCCTTGCTCTTGGGGGCCCAGCGGTGACACCCACCCACTCCTGACCCATCCCAGCAGAGAGCAGCTGCCTCAGCCCTTGGCTGGGAACCGTGGGCACCGCACGGGGACCACCCTGCTCCTCATGAAGGCTCTCCCGAGATCCAGCCTGCAAGGTTCACCCGCGGCCCCTGTCTCCACTGGATGACCGCCCGTCACGGTGCTGAGGACCGCTCTCATATACTTTCCTTGGAGCCCCAGGCAGTCTCTTTTTACCCAGTCCAGGATCTTGGTTCAGTTTGGACCCTTGCGCCAAGCCTCAGCTGGCCGGGGATTCCCATCCTCATCCAAGCTTCCGGTCCTATTCCTGCCGCTGACCCTACCTCCTATAGGATGCTGGACCCGTCTTTCCCACCCGCAGGATGGGTATGAGGGGCTCAGACCCGGGATCTCTCAGGCCCCCCCAGCACCTGTGGAGGAAGCACGACCTGGGGGCCTGGGTCAGGCACTCGGCCTCCAGCAGCTTTCCATTACCCCGGTGCTCGCTGGGAGGGTCCCAGCCTGGGGAGAGAAGGGACCGTTATCTCCAAGGAGGGAAAGCAGCTAACGCTTAGGCTGCTGGCCATGGCTGCGGGGGACGGAAGAGTCCAGGAAGCCCACTCACCTGGGGTGTGCCTGTCAGCAGGCCTGGGGCCTCTCCCACCTCCTGTGGAGTGCCTGCTGTGGCCAGGACCAAGTCCTGAGAAGGCAGAGCTGGGGATGAGAAAGCAGCTGTGAGGTGGAGACCCTCCAGGCCCGGCCCCCTCCCCCCAGGTGGTGGCCAGGGATCAGGAGAAGCAGGAGCTCCAACATGCTCCCCCGGGCACAAGGAGGGCCTGAGCTCTGGCCAGCATCCTCAGGACACCCGCTGTGTGAGTGCTGGGGGACAGCGCACAGACACCTCCACTCACTGGGCTCAGCCTGGAATTCTGAGCTGACGGGGAGGCCCAACCCCCATTTGGCAGTGGAGGAAACTGAGGCCCAGAGAGAAGATGTGAAAGCTCCAAAGACCCAGCCCCCTCTGTCTTCAGCAGAGGCCTGGGCCTCTAAGGGTGGTCTTAAGAAGCTCACTGAAGCCCTGGGGGCAGGAGCTCCTGGTGACACTCAGCCAGGCCAGCCTGAGGCAGGCCTCTCCTTTCTCCCCTACCTGCCAGGGCTCCCACTGCTAGCCCCCAACCCTCCGTCATGCCTAGGAGGGCTCAGAGAGCTGGCTCTGCCCCAGGCCTGCTTCCTCCTCTGCACAGTGCGGCAACCCCTTAGGCCGGGCTCCCAGGGCTGCTCTGAGGACCCAGGAGAAGACTACTCTATCACTCTGGCCTTCAGCTTTCTCCTCGGCAAAACGGGATGGAGCTTGAGCCTGTGGGATGTGGGGCATCGCATGGCCTCTGAGTGCCTTTGGCAAAACAAGGCTGCCAGGCCCTCCTGGACTCCAGGGTGACCATCCCTCAGCTTTCCTTTCTGTCAGTGGGGGCAAAGGCCACAGCTCCCACCACTGTGGCCATTCCTCCTGGAAGGGTCCACACTGAGCCCCATGGAGAGGGGCCTAGCTGGCAGGGATGCCCAGAGGGGACAGCGCTAAGCCCAGGTCCTCCATCGCCCTGCCTCCCTCCCTGCCCAGGGACCCTCTCACCTCGCACCCCTTGCTCCGGGAGTAGGCCCTCCATGGAGAGCCATTCCCTGAAAGCCTCTCCCTGAGGTGGCTTCCCCCGGGGGCAGGAGTCACTGGCAGGAGGCTCGGCACCTTCCTTGGCCTCTTCAACCTTGGCGTTGAGGAGCAGGTCCCCCAGGGACCCTGTCGCCCACATTTCCTCCAGGGACTGTTTGCAAACTTGGAAGTGCCTGTAGAGAAGGCTGGGGTC